CTAATGTGTCCCTTCCAGTTTGGGATATTCTATGACTTTATGATTCTGTGATAACTGCATCAAATTGATATTTTCCAGGAGACTTTTCCATTTTTCCCTGCATGGCAGTGACACAGTTGATCCCCTTTCACCCCCACTTGGTCAGGTCAGGCACTGCAGACCAAAACCCACCCCAGAGAGGGTTCTGTACCACTTGAAGAGGTTTCCACTGCCTCCAGCCCCATAAACAACTCTCCTTTCACCTGGGTTTCCCTATCTCATTTTTTTCTCATTGCTTTTCTCATTTCTCATCCCCAATTCCCCAAAGCAGCCCAAGGAGGGTCCCAAGCCCCACATGGCTGCAGTGCATTCTCACAGCAGATGTATCCCCAGCCATCAGCTCAGGCCATTTTTCCTTATTCCAGCAGCAGATGCATTGGGATGTCACACAGTTACTTAATCGTCCCCTCCATTCCTGACAGCAAAAAGCCGTGGCACAGAACACATTGTTTGCCTGTGCCGGAGAGCCCAGATGCACGCCTCGCTTCGGAGACACTTAATTTTAATTTTCAGGATTAGCAGCATGATTTCATTTGCCTGAGCCAGGAGGGCTTCCAGAAAGCAGCAGCCTGAGAAATGGGAAAAAGAAGAGGGAAAAGCACAGGCTGTGGCACAGCACTGTGGTGATGGGATGGAGTGGTGGGGATGGGACAGGGATGGGGACAGGGATAGAGAGGACAAGGGGCGCTCCTGGGACCTCATACTCAGAGCTCAAGATTCAATGGGAATGGAGAATTTCCTATCTGGGTTTTGGATCAGGGAACAACCTGTATTTTTTCCTCCTACATCTATATTTTTTCCTCCTCCACTCCCAGATTGGATCTTCGGCCCCAACCCAGATGACAACAGCAACAAAAGCGACGTCAACTGCATCACCAGCAGCGTCAATGAGATGAGTGAGATGCCCGAGGTGCCGCGCCACCACAACCGCCAGCCCCAGGACGTGGTCATCACCATCGGCGAGACCTGCCACCTGCCACAGCAGACGTGAGCAGTGTGATGGCATGGGCACGGCGGGGAAGGACCAGGGGAAATCTCCTTGTTCGCCTCTACTGCCGACAGAGGACTGTCTGCTGCTGAGCAACCGGCGCTGCAGGGATGGGGGCAAAGGGAAAGGGGCTGTGGGATGGGCAGAGCGCACGGGGCAGAGCCCTTCAGGCTCAAAGGACATTGCCAGGGCCATGGGATCGTCAGTGGGTCCATCAGCTTCCTTGTTTTTCCTGTGAATAGCAAAAAAGCAAATGGAGAAATACAGTGAGCAGAGGTGAGGTGGAGAGAAGGGTGGTCCTTTGGTATGCGGCTGTCCTGCGTCATGGGTATGGGGCATTGGGAAGGGCAAAGTGGGGAGACAAGGAAGACCTACAAGAAATACATGTCCCCACAGATCTCTCCCAGCATACCCATGCAGTTGGAGAGATGATGCTGGAGGGGAGGGCAGGGACCCACCAGCAGTGAACAGAGCTGTTTGGGTTCCCATTTAGCTGCATCCCTGGCTCACCCCTTTCGGTTCCCTTTGTCACCTCCAAGCTGTGTGACTCCCTGAGGGTGTGCTGGGGTCGCCACAGTCACACGTGTGATGTTTGAAGCCAGGATCCACCACTTCTCTGCACAGCACAGCTCTCTAGATCTTTTCCAAATTCAAAAAAGGCCAGACGGGCTGATCCCAAGCAGAGTCAATTACCCAGCCCCAGGTACCCATAGCAGGGGTTGGAGCATCATCTGCCTCCCAAAAGCATGGGGCTGTGGTTGTCTAGGGAAGTGGTGTTGCAATGGGGAATGCCAGGGGAGATGGGGAGCAGTTCTGTATGGGCGTACGGAGCCAGAGGATGATGTGAGTCTGTGTTAATTCCCTGTGTATATGTGTGTATATGTGTATATGTGTGTGTGTCCCTGCCTGGCAAGGTGGGGGCACTTCTGCTGATCCCACCACTGAGGCTGCACTGTCACAGCATCTCACTTCTCTGGCTAACTGCATTGAGCTGGAGGAATGCTTTGTTTGGGGGGTCAGGGGCAATGCCTGCAATTTTGGAACCTGGAAGCAGGGCTGCAGCGATGGAACTTGGGAAACTCGGGAGGATCTCAGTTCCTGGGGTGCAGAAGCTTTCCTGAGAGTCGCGGGTCTCCTCATTGCCCTGCCTTCCCAGCACCTGGGGCTGAGCATCGGGTTCTCCAGGGCTGTCAGCGACAGTGTCCCTCTGTCACCCGCTGTCCTGGAAGGGACACGGCTCCCTCCTGTGGCCGCTCTTCCCGGGCCTCCTGCAGCCGGGACCCCTCCCCGTGCGAACGTCGCAGGGTGGTGGGACGTGGCCGAGACCCCAGAATGTGGCAGGAGAGAAAAAGGAAGGGCTCGTCCTGCAGAGTGGCACAACTGCAAAGCGGTACTGCAAGAGCACGGAGCACGAACTATCATATCAGCAGCAACTAACGGCAGGAAGGATATGCAGAGCTCTGCAGCTCCCGGTGATGCCATGGCTGATCCACTGAGCCCCCATGCATGCAGGTTTGGTGAAGCACAGATCCCCTCTAGGTGCTGAAGGGGGGCACCTGGGGCAGCCTGGAGCTGTGCAAGGCTTTTGGCTGAAAATAGTACCCCAAGAAAGCAGTGCTTTTTTCAATCCAGTCTCCCTAGAGGCTGGGAAGGGCCTCAGCATAGCTCCCTAAGTCCTGCTTTCCTCCCATAAGCGCATTAGGGTGCAGGGTGAGAGGTGCCAGCACTTTTTATAGCAGCCGTAATCCACACTGCTCTTCTTGACTGAAGCACAGCCTCACAAGTCGGAGGTTCCCAAACCCTAAAATGGCTTCAAACCTCCATGGTTCCCAGTAGAGAGATGTGCACAGGATGGGCAAACTACCTAGGGGGACACGAGGGGCTGGCGGAGGGTGATGGGTTCCTTCTTTCCTAATATCTCCTAAAATAAGAAGGAAACTCTTGGCATGGGAATTGTGCCCTTTCCCACGAGCTTTAGGTGCTGGTGGAGCTCCACACTTCCCATCTGGATTGAACACCAAGACCTGAGCTCTGGTATTTTATTTGGGTAAAATCAGCCACCAATCCCAAACTGCCACTGCGGGATGTGGGACTGCAGTTATGCCATGGTCACAAGAGGGCTCCTCAGTGCATGTCTCATGCCAGCACTGCAAGGGCAGCTGGGCTCAGGTCCTGGGGATGAAGGACATGAAATGGGGCAGCAAGAGACTCCAGGTGGTGCTAGAGGGTGACTGGGAGAAGTGTATCAGTGGCCCCATGTAGGGACATGTCCGGACATCACCACGAGAGGTGGCCATGCAGGACAGGGATACTGGCTCTGGGTGGGTAGGGGGACTTGACACCCCAATTTCCCTGGGTTTGGCACAGATCAGTCCCTCCCCAGCCTCTCTGGTTACCACACCATCTCTCTCCTAAGCAGCTCAGTTCTTCTCCCCAGCCAAAAGTCCCCAGGCTGGGGCCTGTCAGCAGCACCCAATGTGTTTTAACCTTTGGCTGTTTCTGAGACCTTGTGCCGCTCATGATGATGCCCTTTTCTCCAGCTCCCAGGCACAGGGCAGCATGGGAAATCCTGCCAGTGGCTGTGCAGAGTTCGCTGTGCCAATTTTTCCCTGCTGACAATCCAGTCCTTATCTCCCACGGCCTCTTTGCAAAGTGTTTACTGTAATTTTCCCTCTAAACACCCCATGGAAAAAACAACAGAGGGGTTCTGTGAGGTCAGGCTGGGCTAAGACGATAAAAGCAGATTAATTTTTCAGAAGAGTGATTCTGATTTCTCGTCCTCCCCACCCCAAGAGAGACCTGAGCAGGGCTGGTAGGTAGAAGACAGCGACAGGGTGATCCCCAGTGGGGTGAGCAGCAGTGTCACCCCTAGGATGGCACAGAGTGAGGTGTCCCCAGGAACACAGGGGGACATTTCCCAGACAAAGGGTCACAGAGGGGAATAAGGTGGCATATCTGGTGTGTAACCCCCAGAGGAGCAAAACAGTAGCAGCAAGCATGGGGATTGTGAAGGTGAGCATAGGACCTGGCAGCGGGCTCTCCCCCTCCCTGGGAAAAGGTGGTTGGATGGGAGCTGTTATGTGGCTGCAGCCCTCCAGGGACAGGCCCTTTCAGGGCATGCAGGGAGGGGAGAACACAGGGGACTTTCCAATAGCTCCCCTTGCCAGTTATTAAAGTGTTTTACTGCCTCATTAATACGGCCTAATCTCTGTGTATATCTAAGAGGAAGAATTGGCAGGCAGTGTTGTTGTAACAGCAGTGGGCGTTTTCTGGCACTGCTCAGCTGTTTTATCTGCTTGTTTTCCTGCCCATTCCCAGCACCCAACAGCCCTGTGACACAGCAGGGGCAGCAGCTTTGCACCCACTGCTAACCCTAACCACCCATCAGCAGACAGACATTCCCCAGGGCATTTCCCCAGGGAAGCTCTGGGACACAACAGCTCTCATTTCTCCAGATCCAGCTCCAAGGTCTGGATTTGAGGGGATGTCCTGTTCTGGGGGCATAGAACCATAGAATGGTTGGATTGGAAGGGACCTTAAAACCCATCCAGTTCCAACCCCTTGCTGTGGGCTGGTTGTCCTCCATCAGATCAGGCTGCCCAGGGTCCCATTCAGCCTGGCCTTGAGCATGTCCAAGGATGGAACACCCACAGCACAGAAAAGCTGGGCTGGACTTTACTTCTATGGTTTTTCTCCTTTTTGTTTTATTTTTTACTTAAACCCAGCAGTACATGGGGAAACCCTTCCCCATCCTGCTGTCTTCAGCATCTGCCTCAAGAGCTCAGGGTTGAGTGGATGCCAAGGTCTGTGGATCATAGAATCATTTGAGTTGGATAGGTCTCTTAAAGGTCACCTGGTCCAACTCCCCTGCAGGGAACAGGGACAGTCACAGCTCGACCAGGTGCTCAGAGCCTGATCCAGCCTGACCTTGAATGCCTCCAGGGGTGGGGCATCCACCACCTCTCTGAGCAACCTGTACCAGTGCTTCTCTGTCCTTATTGTAAAAAACTTTTTCCTTATATCCAGTCTTAATCTCCTTTCTTTTAGTTGAAACCGCTTCCTCTTATCCTATCACAACATACCTTGCTAAAGAGTCTGGATCAGTGGCTCATGCTCACATTGGACAGGCTATTGTTCTCAGGGGTGGCAGCTCCAGCTCTCTTCTGCCCCTAAACCTCTGCAGACCCAACAAAGCACCGACAGTGTGGCCTTGGAGAAAAGTTACCATTTATTAAGCCACAGCTATTGTTGCCGACAGCAATTTTAGCAGCACTGGAGGACTTACCCTATCCTCCCGGGGACTCTCATGCAGAGCTAGAAGCGAAGCCTTGGGGACATGGTAGCCATGCATAGAGCCATGAGCTGCTGGCAGGCAGGTGGGATGGGGCGGATTTGGGATGCCCCCAAGTCCTCAGCAGATGCCACTCCCATGATTTGGGCACTGTTCTGCTCTTGCCCACTAATGGAGGGCAGTGCATGTGCAGCCAAGGTACATCCAACCGCCCTCCTGGCCACATCCATCTCACCCTGCAGCCGCTCCAGGAAGGTAGTGGTTTCCCACTGGCTCCAAGGGATGATGAACCATACGGCACCATACCAACAAGGGCAGAGCCAGGATTCAGCTCCGTGTGTGTGAAAGAACCCTTCCTTGAAGCTGTGGAATGCCACTGTCCTTCCCTGCAACATCCGAAGAAAGGCGCAGATGCTGCCCCAAGTGAGTGTACAGCTCAGTGCAAGCCATGCTCTGCAAGCTGGGGGTGCTGGGTACATAGGGGGCAAGCAGTCAAAGGCACAGTGAGAAGCCAAGGCTCAGAGGGCAGAGAGGACATCTCCAGGCTGCAGATCCACACCAGCAGAGGAGCCACGTGTCTTGGGCCACTCCACCACACCAGGTCACATGGTGGGACAGTCCTCAAACAAACCCAGGGAACTTGGAGCTCCATGTCCCACTGAGTGGCTTCACAGAGGCATCTCAACCACCTTCACCTCCAGGAAGAGCTTTCAACACTGACCACCAACCAAGCCCCAGCTCCTCCCAACTCCATATACCCTTGGTGGGCACTGCCTGGAAAAATACAACGGAAGTGCTGAGTTGAGATGCCCAGCCCATGGCCCTGCCCCACGGCTCACACTGCACATGCTGGTGCCACCAAATGGGACACGTAGGAGCGGCTCCCATTCCCAGCCACACCACAATCCCAAGCAGAGCCCAATGAAGCAGAGCGGGCGGTGCGGGGAACACAGAGCCACGGGCTACAAGAATGTCACGTCGTCCTGGGACTGCAGCCAGAGCCAGTGGGCATCGTACTCCAGGTGCAGTTCGCTGTTGAGTTTGCAGTTCTCCAAGTTGGCCTCAGGTTTCCGAGCCTTCCCACCCACATTCCCCTTCTCCAGCCTTTCCCCAGGCCCTGATTTGGGCTCTTTGCCCGAGTAGCCATTGGCCACCTGGGGCTCCTTAGCAAAGCGCTGCAGGTCTGGGCAGCTCCGATTCGGGCTGAGATCTGTGTGGGGCCATTCATGCTCTGCTCTGCCCTTCTCCTGCTTCGTGAAACCCCTCTCAGGGTCCAGCCTGCCCCAGTCCTGCTCAGCCCTTCCCAGAGCTCTGGGGAGCTCGGCAGCATTTTGAGAATACTCATCCATGTCGTCAGCCAATGTGTCCAGATAGCTGCCAATGGAGATGCTGTCCAGCTTGTCGGGGGGATCCTGCAGGCTGTCCCAGCTGCCCCGCCGCGAGGCCGTCTGGCTGCCCGCCAGGCTGTACTGGCTGCTGGCCAGGCTGCTGCAGCGGCTGGTCAGTGTGCTCTTCTCTTCCAGCAGCCATTTCACCGCCTCGATGCCCTCGTTGACTGCCACCAGCTGCTGTAGGATCTTCACGTCCACTGCGCGTAGGTGTGCCTGGTGGAGAGACAGAGAGCGTGGCTCAGCGAGATGGATGTACTGTGCCCTCCATCCCTGAAGTACCCCAAGTGCCAGCTGTATGAAGAAGGGGTAAGACCTGGGGACGGGCTGCCCACCTCCAGCTCCAGGTTCCCACTGGGAACCGTGTGTCCCCTTCCAGGAGTGCTATCTGAGACCTGCAGACATCACCATCAGGGACTTACAGCATTCACATAGCCATCCCCATCCATGGCCACCCCCTCAGGAACAGGGACGAGGGGATAGTTGCAGGCACTGGATCCAGATCTGAGCCCAGATAAACCCCCAGATCCTGGTGGGATCAAGCAGCAATGCACTAAGATTGGAAGACTGGTCCAGGGTAAGGACCAGTCCCACCTCTGTAGTGTGGGCACTTCCCAAGTGATCCAGATCTCCTCTATGCATTCACTTTCCCCCATAGGACAAATGAGGATCCTAGTGGAAACATCAAGAAAGTCTTTGGAGCCCAAGATCCCAGTCACTCCCAAACCTCCCAGCCTTTCTAGAAGGTGAGAAAAAACAGTGGTGGCACAAAGTGCCTGCCCATCCTGCCCTGTGCTTGAGCCCATCCTGGAGCAACCCTGGACAGGGGCTGGAGTCCCCATCAGCACTCTCTCCCTGCACAGCCAGTTCCTGCCCTGCGAGGCCAGGAGAAGCTCTCTGCAGAACCGCAGCTGCTGCACAAACATCTGTTTTCCTAATGGAAAGCTCAGCGTGCCAAGACATTCCTGTCTGTATGATGCTCGCCGCCGAAAGCCACTGGATTTCCCCTGCACAGGAGGAAAATATTTCACCAGGAAAGGGAACAAAAGGGCAGTGGGAAGAGAGAGAAAGAAACACACAGTGGGACAGGTACAGGTGAGGGGAGATGAGGGGACAGCCCATTGGCTGCTGTGGGCACCATATCTCCAAACACAACCCGAAGTGCATGCAGCACTCATGCTTTGGGAGCTCACAGGACGCAGCCCTGAGCATCACTTCAGCCAAGCCCAATGGGAAACCGCAGCACCCCCTCAACAGGTCTCCAGGGAGCCCCATCTGCATCTCACAGTTGGCACCAGGACAAGGCCACTGGGAGGAAGATGGAGCCTGGGAAAGTCAAGGTCTCGGCACGGGATGCCTCTCAAGTCAGAGAGTGCAGAGAAAATGGGCAGACACTTGCAGGGATCTGAAAACAAATCTCCCTGACCCTCCTCAAAGCCACCAGGCTGGACTGAAAAAAAAAGAAGAGATGGGAGAGCTGCTGACAGCCCAGATTGGGGCAGCAGCCAGCTCTGAGCTGCAGAAACTTCCTTTCTAGGCAAATTATTTCACAGACTGCTCCAGCAGGCTTCTCCACACGCTCCAACGAAACATTGGCCCTGGCATGGAGGAAGTCTGGGACCTCCTGACATTGTCTCCAGGCACTGAGCAGTGCCATTTTTCTCCAGCTCACAGAGTGGTGCTGCCAGAGGGCAAGGAAAGAGCAAGGCTCTGGGGTCAGATGTTAGGAGTTGGGTGCCAATGGGAACACGCTGCCCACTTTTGGTTCCCATTGCTGGAAAGTATCATTTGCACATCTCCTCCCCGCAAAGCATCTTTCCCAGGATCTTTCCCAGGGAGACCCACCAGGGCACCCTGCTCTCAGGGCACCACATCATGCCTCAGTTTCCCTGTTCCATCCCATCCTCCCAGCGCTGCAGTCTCCTATCCCTGCTCATTACCCTAGAAACCCATTGGCACTTTTTTTCCCTTGGAGACTGGCAGTTTTGGGGTAACGGGGTGAAAAATGAGCCAAAGTGTCCGGGGACAAAGCTGGAGTTGGGATTTCCACCTTCACAACACCTCTGCCCATCCCCTCCATCCCCGCTCAGTCCTCAAGGGCACTAAAGGCTCTTTGCCCTGCACGGGGGCAGAATCCACTCCCCCGCCTCATTCATGCTTCCCTTCTTCCCGCAGAGAGGAATTTGCCCCCAGGGACACAATATCCTCCCTCGGTCAGGGAAAGCGAGTGGGAACGCGCTGTCCCCTCCCCGCGCCGCCCACGCGGGGCGAAGCGCCGCTGCGGGAACGGGGCTGCGCGGAGCCGGGTGCGGTGCTGTGCCACACTGCGGGTCCTAATGACATTTTAGCCCCAACATTCGGCCATCATTTAAAGTCAGGGCCCAAAGGTGCGGGGCAGGCGGCCTTCCTCCTTCTCTCCCTCCTCCTCCTCCCAGCAGCCCGAGCTCCGCACCTTCCTTCCGCGGTCAGGAGTGCGGCCGGGAAGCGGGGATGGAGTCGACACGGGGACAGCCAACGGCCAAGGACGGGCACCCACCTCACCGCTCCGCGGCAGCGCTCCCGCAGCTGCGGGGAGGCCGTTTCCCTATGGAAACGCCGTGATCGGTGCCCGTGCGTGGGAGCGGAGCACCCCGCGGCTGCCGGGGGCGAGCGGCAAAGCGGAGGTCCGTCGCCTCAGTGCACGGCGAGCCCCGGGACAGCCCCGTGTCCCCAGCCCCGGCACGCACCGGGTCCCGGCACTCACCAGCTCCAAGCGGAGCGCACGGAGGCGATCGGCGATCGGCGGACGGGAGCCGCGAACGGGAGCCGGCAGCGGGGACGGCGGGGCGGGAGCGGGCTCGGCGCGGAGACCCCGCAGCAGCCCGGCGGGCGGCCGGCGGCCCACCTTGCCCGCCAGCTCCCGCAGGTCCGCGGGCAGCGCATCCCCACCGCCCTCCATGCGGGTGGGGCGGCGGCGGCACCGCGCGGGGCGGAGGCGGTGGCGCTGTCAGCCCGGCCACGCCCCCTGCGCCTCGGCCACGCCCACAACCTATTGGCCACGCCCCCATAGCGACCACCCTCCCGGCCCCGCCCCGCCACCTGCCCACGTACCAGCGAAGTCCTCCAAGCAGCGCAGAGCGGCGCGCGGTGGGAGGAGTTAGCGGAGGCCACGCCCCCTCGCGTCTCTGCGGCGCCGGAAGCGGCGCGGTCTCGCTGGTGCTGAGGGGCTGCGGCGGCGCCCAACCGGGCTCGGCCCAGCCCCGCTCACCGCCTGCCGGCACTCACCGTGAGTAGCGCGGCCGGAGCGCGGCTTCGTGCCGCCCTGAGCTGTGCGGTACGCCCCTACGTCCTCCCCGTGGCCCCCTGTGTCCTGTCCTCCCCGTTCCTCCGGCCTCCTCATCCCTCTGTGTGTGTGGGGGAGGCCTGGGCTCGTACCCAGCGCTACCCGGGCGGAGCAGCTGCGCAGCCCCTCCTGGCCCCAGCGCCTGCCGGCCAGGTGTCCTGCTACGTACCTGTGGGCTTTCCAGCGGGAAAACCCCTCCCCGGCGCTGTGGCAGAGGTCTTCTCTGGGCCTTCAGATCGAGGGCTTCCCATTGCCCTCCTTATGGGGTGTTCCAGCAAAGCCCTGTGTCCATGTGGGGCTGATGGGGAGGGAAGTTTTGTGCAGCTTTCGTGTCGCGTCCTCGTTCACAGCCACCCTCAGTGACAGGCTGTGGCTGCGCTAGGCGGAGGTTCTGCACCTCACCCTGTATCCACCCCGTCTGGGCAGGGAGCCCCGATGGACACACGAGCGGAGCTGAGCGCATCCTGACCCTCACCCCATGCGGCCCTGGTGACTATGGACGAGTGGAAGCACAACCCCATCATCAAACCCCACAAGAAGCGGAGCTGGTACCTGGCCTGGAAGTACAAGCTGATGAACCAGCGGGCGCTGAGGAAGCTGTGCCAGGTGACTCATTCGCAAGCCTGTGGTGGATTAGGGAGGATAATCTGGGGTTTACAAGCTTATGGAGCAGATGTGGGGGGCGTGGAGGTGGGTCTGCTAGGAGTCCTGTGTGACCTAACGTGTCGGGGATGTATAACTTATCCCTAGAAAAGCCATCTCGCTAGCTTTGTGCTCGTGTGTGGCGGGGTCTGTCATATCTACCAGCTCCTTCTATCTGCAAATGGTCTGGTTATGACTGGAGATACAATTATTCAGGCTTTCCTGGGAGACTTTCAGATGAAAGCATGCCTGGTTCTATACCTGTGCTGTGTGCAGCAGGACTCTCCCTGACAAATATGATTTGCAAACCAAGCCTGGTGTAATTCACAGCAGGTGAACAGACAAAATAGGCTGAGGAATGGGATCTTGTGCCCCAGAAGCAGCTGGTGTCTTGGGGAGCTCCAGCCCTGCTTGCCTGTGCTGTAAAACAGCTAATCCTCAGCCAAGCTGGCATCCTAGAGGTTGTAAGGACAGGGTGGATTTGGTCACAGGGTAGTGAGCTGCAGAAAAGGAGCTGTTCTTGAGATGAGCAGGACTTGGTGAAAATAGGCAGATGGTGCAGGGTGGGCTCACAGGGACTCCCTGGGGAAGCAGACTGCTTGGTCCTGCATCCCCTGGAGTGCTTGGGAATAGACCCAATTGTTTAGGCCAGCACTGCTCATCGTGGTGGGAGCAGTGAGCTAGAGCCTGTCTGCCCTGAGCTCTGTTGTGGTACTGATAGGAATTAAGACATAGATGAAAATTGAGCTTAAAATGTGTAAATAAGAGCTGCAGTTATAAGTCTACAGCAGCAGGGTCTCTATCAGCATCCCTGGCTGAATCAACCATGCTAGACCTGGCTGCTGGTCCTGCTTGATGCTGCCTCCTTCAGTCTGCCAGCTCTGGGAGCACAGACTGCTCCCCTGGTATTAACATGGCTATTAACAAAGACCTCTCTACTGGCTACCACACACAGCCTGCTCCTAGCAACAAGCCCAAGCTCTATTCTTGGCCAATTAAAAGCTTTTTGTGCTCAGATCCTGAAAGGTGATCATAGTTCTGAGTCAACAAGCTACTGAGCTAAAATGCTGTAGTGGTGTTTATATTGTCACATTATCTACATGTCCATCTGTTGTTTTATTGCTGTTTTTTCATTTCCCTCAATTACTTCTGAACCCATTTGGCTGCATGGCAGAGATAGCAGCAGCATGCAGCTTTGAGGCAGTAGATGACAAGGTAGCAGACCAGTGTGTGTAATCTCACCCCCATACCAGGCCTCAGAGAGCCTGAGGAGAAGTTGTTCTTATGAGGATCCTTAGGAATGAAGTTGCTGGGTGTTTGGGGGGCAATGGGAGACTTCCAAAACCAGTCAAGACTGTACATCCGAGGCCAGCACTGCAACTGTAAGACCATTCTCTTGGCTGTGGCCAGTCCTGCTCTTGCAGCTTTCACATGCATGCTGATTACTTCTCACCACTGGATGTTTGTGGTCCAAGTCTTCCTGTCTCAAAAAAATTTCCTTATGGCACAGAATAGTTTCTGCTTTACTCTGGCTCTGAATACAAGGGAAAATACTGAAAATGGGGAAGACAGGACAAGATGCACCAGATCCGTTGGAAGTGGCAGTGCTGCCATTGGGGTTTCTGTGGACTGCTCCATAGCCCCAGTCCTTCCCATCACAACACCATCTGCATCCTTGTGAACTGCTGTGTAGTTTGCTGCACACTGTAAGGCTGTGAGCTGTTCTCTGCAGCCTATGGCACAGTGCAGTTTCCTGAAGTTGGACAGGAGTTTTTTGCTTTTGCTGTGTTTTGATCACACAGCATTTCTTCCTCCTTGTGAATATCCTGGATACCTCCTGTGATTTCAGAGGGAGAGGCAAGTTCAATGATGCTGCAGTAGGGGCAGGGACTGAGGTTACTGTGGGAGCTGCAACTTGAATTACCAAATTCTCTGCATTCGGAGACCTTCAAGCTTAGTATTTTAGTAGCAATCTGCTTGCAGATCTGGAAACAGGAGCACAATGGAAGTGGGTTAATTCTCATATATAAATGCTCAGTGCTCCCCAGCTGAAGATGCATCTCACCCTAAAACTGTCATCTGCATTTCCTTCTCTTTCTCTTCCCCTAGAAGAAAGAGGGAAATGCCAGGTACTGAAGATTCCTAGCAAGATCCCCTTGGGGTGCCCTGCAGACTATGGCAGGGAAGAGGCTTGATCTTGGGGTTGTTACTTACAAGTTGCTAAAACAAAGCATCCTGCATTGCAGACAGGTGCTGTCCTCTTCTTGCTTGTAACTGTGATTGTGAACATCAAGCTGATCTTGGACACCAGGAGAGCTGCTTATGAGGAGGAAGAGGAGTCTGCACAGGACTATGGTGAGGGGCATTTCATTGAAGGGATGGAAATCAGAGAGAAAGGAGTAATTTCTTTAAGTCAAATGAAACTTGTGGTGAGCTGCACTATGAAAGACAGGATTGTGCCTATGTGTTTAACAAAAACAATTAGAAAAGGATGTTTCTTGGTCTGTCTACTCAAGGCATGTATAGCTTCAGAGATCTGCATGGGGATAGCTGGGACCAGAGTTGCTGCTGGTTTGGATTTCCTTTACTTGCTTTCCCCTTAGACTCTGACCCATGGTATAGTGGACTGGAATGCCTGATAGGCATCACGTCCTAGAGGTTTGGTTGGGCTAGGGTCAAGCAGAGACAAACCAGAGATGTCTGGGCTGGTTGAGACTGGACATTCCTCCCCTATAGATGATGAGATGCTGAATGTGGAGGCCCCTAGGCACCCTGTGAGCAACAAGAAGGTTTTGGATGTCGAGGTGTACTCCAGCCGATCAAAGGTCTACGTTGCTGTGGATGGGACAACAGTAAGTGATGGTTGCTGGCTGTTCCTGTGAGCAAATGATGGATTGGGGTTGAATGGGTAAAGCCTTGAACCGTGGGCAGTGAGAAGCAATTCTGATTTAAGGCTGTAAAAAAAAAAAAAAAAAAAAAAAGATCCTAGGGGTCTGGAGATGTTGTTCTGCACTGTCTTCTACCCTGGTGTTCATAGAATCATAGAATCACAAGGTTGGAAACAACCTGTAAGATCATCTAGTCCAACCGTGGTGTTCATGAATACTATGAGCAAAGCCAAAATCTCAACAGGGGAGATAGTAACTTTTTGTTTAGGGGCCCTGCTGGATGTGCAGGGAATAAGGGATGCTGACTTAGGTTCTTGTCAATTCTCCACTTGCAGGTCCTGGAAGATGAGGCTCGGGAGCAGGGAAGAGGGATCCATGTCATCGTCTTAAATCAGGCTACGGTAAAGCATCCCTGCACATCTATGTGTCTCTTCCTTCCTGAGCTGTTTATGTCCTTCCTGTTTATCTGTTTGATGTGTGTGACAATGTCCCTGAACGTGTTTGCTTTCAGTTGCCAGAGTATGACATGATCACCCAAAAGGTCCTTGCAGTGTTTCTCTTGCACTGGCCTAGCTAGAGAAAAGCTTTTGTAGGTTTCTCAAGTAGTTAGGACTTGGTCCAAAAGACTTGTGAACTGCAGCAGAGGTGATGCTGGGGAACATGCAGAAGAAGAGTTGTGGGGTGTAGGGTAAAGCTGTCCTGTGGACCTCAGCATCTTGTATGCTGTGTGAAGGCTGAGTTTGTCTGGGTACTTGCTCCCTAGCCTACTAAAAAAGGAATTCATGTTGTTTTGGGGTTGAGACTTCAAAGGCAGATTTCTCTAATTCTACTTGTCCTTGGAATTTAAGATACATCTAATGTTTGAATACCAACAGGGTCATGTGATGGCCAAGAGGGTCTTTGACACCTATTCTCCTCATGAAGATGAAGCTATGGTACTTTTCCTCAATATGGTTGCCCGGGGCCGGATCCTGATCTTCACCATTAAGGTAGTGTCAGAAGAAAAGTTGCTTCAAGTCAGGACACCTTCAGGCTTAACTACCGAATGTTATTGAGCATTTCTAAGGCTAAGTGTTACATTTCCAG